TTCAGCATCACTCCAAAAGTGTTTTGCTGCATCTCGTGGCGACGCTGCTCGCTTATTTTCGGTACCGTTGTCTGTTTTACACGTGCAGTCTAAGAAATCCGAAAGAAATCAGAGTAAGAGTTCACATGCGCTGAGAAATCTGATTACTGAGCTAAAATCCAGCCTCTTTATCCGATTTCTTAATCAGATTTCTAGACCTCACTCAGATCTAAGAAATCAGAGTGAGCTGTTTACACGACCATTTGGATAATCAGATAACTGCAGAAATCCGGAAATGATCGGATTATTTAGTGCAGGTAAACACACTCACTCTGTGGTCACAATAATTTTATTCAGTTGTTATTAAATACATTCTGATGAAGCATATCGTCGCTGTCCGACGAAAAACAAGTATCTCCAAAATAGTAACTTTACAGGAGAGGGCAAAAACGTTCTTTACTTTCAATGTAAGTCAATGGAAAAAAATTTTATTCTAAGCAATTTTGGAGCATTTCTATTGGTCCAATCATCATTAAACTTTCACACAATGTGAAGGACAGCTGCTGAGCTTAAATGATGCAGAATAGTAGAAATCACAAAAAATGGAGATACATGTTTTTCATTGGACAGCGACGATATTTTGTCCACTCATATTTTTCTACAACAAAATGCACTGATTTTTAAATGGAGAATTTTTTTTTACAGTCAAATTTGGTCCAATATGACCAATGCGATTACTTTTTACAAATTAACAACTACAAAAATTACAGTATGTTTTTATTATTACTGGTAATAATGAGGTGTGTGTGTGTGTGTGTGTGTGTATAAGTGTGCAGGTTTACAGTAATAGCCGGATTTTACCTGTTAAAACAGGTTTTTCAGGCAAAGTGACCGCGGGATAATTTCCTCTAAGCGATGAAGAGTGCAGTGATATTGAGTTGCAGGTTAAGGCTACTATTGTTTTTAGACACGTCAGTGCCACTGCTAGACTGAGAGTGGACCACCACCCAAAAATAGCCAGACAAGCGCGGCTCTGTGGCCAGAAACTGACCGTTAATGAAAGACTAGATGACGAATAACACAAATTGTGCAACAGATGACCTGCAGTCTCGAACTGGACACCAGCAGCACACACTGGTGGTTTCTATTAACAGACCTACACCAGTGAAAATTATGATGCAAAGTATAAGTGTTTATAACATGCTTATTAATGATATTCTAATGATCAGACAGGTTTGTCTGTCTTATAAACACTACAGTACTGTGTAAACAGTCTGAATGATTGGTTGTTCTGGGCTGTTCTATTCCTCTTCCTGCATTTTTCTGTTTTTCTTCCATTGTAAAGCCACCTTGAGCTCAAGAAAGATGGAAATAAAATTCGTTTTATGACCTCTAGAGTCTGACCGCAGTTTCAAAACAGCTTTATTCAGTATTTACTGTGAATTATTCAGTGACTGCTATGAATTATTGAATAACTACTATGAATTATTCAGTGTCTACTATGAATTATTCAGTATCTCTTATGAATTATTCAGTGTCTACTATGAATTATTCAGTATCTACTATGAATTATTCAGTATCTACAAAGTTATTCAGTATCCAGTATTTATCATTGATTACTTAGTCATTAAATAACTACTATAAATTGTTTTGTCTCACTACCATTAATAATCCCGTACCTACTGTTTATAATTCAGTAACTGCTGTGAATTATTCAGCATCTACTATGAATTCTTTTACTAAATTATTCTGTAATTACTATGAATTATGAGCTACTCTGAATTATTCAGTAACTTATCAGTGATGCAGTATGTATACAAACGAAAAATTAGTTTTTGGAGCCTTTTCAGTGATGAGTGGGGTAGAGGGGGCTGATAAAGTGTGCAGCAGCAGATGGACTACAGTCTGTAACTGTACATCTACATCTAATGGACCTATGACAGGTGACAGGTGTTTCTGATAAAATGGCCACTGAGTGTAGGGTTTGCTGACGTGCTGAGATCAGACTCCATTCGCGTGAACGCATGGCAAGCAGGCATAATGACGCTATGTGGAGAGTGGAAAATTGTGTCAGTTTGGGTTTTTTGCCAAATTGCTTCTTTAATGTGGTCTCATAGTCTCTTTGTGAGAAATGAGTTGTTGATTTGGAGTGAAACCAGGGCTAAACCTGACCAAATCTGACTAAACTTGACTAAATCTGGCTACAACTGGCTAAATCTGACTGACCCTGGTCACTGTGGCTGCTGTGAGAGATGCTGGGAGGTGCTGATAAGGTCAGACAATGACGTAGCCATCCCGTTAGCTGCGTTGGCTGCGAGTTCCTGAGGAAGCTGAGTTAACCTGCCTTTTCCTTCCATTAATTCACCACAGCAGAAGCAGAGCGACGAGCGCTAATGGCTTTCAACTGCAGGAGACTTTAATATTTAATGCCATAGTTTTGGGAAAATATACAGGTTTTTGTACCCGTAGCCCAAATAAGGTCGATCAGCCGAGACGTGTTTGGTGTCGGATGTTTGCTTCATTAGTTTTAACACTGAAGTGGTAGCTTATACCCCACCAAGTAGCATGGTGCTAACTGCATGCTAATCCCCCATAGACTTGATTATGTGGTTTCTTACACTGTATGGCATAAAGAGCCCCTAAGGGGACATGCTGGTTATCTGTTAATAAGGCATGGCCATAAATTAATATATTGAGGCCACTAATTACTTTACTATATTGAGGCCTCCAATGAATATATTGAGGCCAGTAACCAATATATTGAGGCCACAAGTTAATATATTGAGGCCACAAGTTAATATATTGAGGCCACTAATTACTACATTTAGGCTACTTATCAGTACACAGAGGCCACAAGTTAATCAATATATAGAGGCCAGTAATCAATATATTCAGGCCACAAGTTAATACATTGAGGCCACAAATTATTGTATTGAGGACACTTATCACTATAATTAGGACACTGATCACTATATTGTGGCCACTAATTACTAAGTTGAGCCACAAATTACTGTTTTAAGGCCACAAATTAACATATCGAGTCCACAGTTCACTATGTTGAGGCCGTGAATTAATTACTATATTGAGGTCACTGTTTACTATATTGAGACCACTAGTTAATATATTGAGGTGACAGATTACTGTATTGAGGCTACAATTTACTATGTTGAGGGCACAAGTTACTATGTTGAGGCCACAAATTACTATGTTAAGCCCACAGAATTACTATATTTAGGCCAGTAGTTACTATACTGAGGTGATAAATTACTATATTGTGGCCAGAAATTGTTATATTGATGCCACAATTTACTATATTGAGACCACAAATCAACATCCAAACTGAGGTCACTAATTACTATTTTGAGGCCACAAGTTAAGATATAGAGGCCACAAGTTATGAGAAACTTAATTTGTGGGCTCCATATAGTAATTTGTGGCCTTAGTATATTAATTTGTGGCCATGCCTTATTAAAAAATAATTACCATGTCAGCTTAGGGGCTCGGTAAAGTACAGCCCAGCTGAGCCGTAACAGTGTGTCATACAGTGTCGGAAACCACTTAAACAATCTGAGTCACGTGGTTCTGTGTTTGAAGATAAGTGGACTTTAATTAAATACGGTGGTGGTATTTTGTGAACCAGGCTATGTAAAGCACAGTGGTATCTAGACCATACTCCTCTCAAAAATAGCACAGAACCATCCACTTCCGTATTTGTGGTCAGCTCTAGCTGTGTGATGTTAGCACTAGCAAATATACACTGGTGGTGAGATAACGCAGCTGGAGCGGAAGGCCCAGCAGTGTTCAGTGGCCTTTAGGGCCGTCACGATCACTCAGTTAAACTCCATTAAAAAACGTTTCTCACTGCTCTGCGGTGGATAGTTGCCTGTGTGGTGTTAGATCCTCCTGCATACTCTCTCTTACTGTACCAAACTCTTTCATTTATATGCACTGTTCACTAAAGTGTATTATCATTTTATTATCTATTTTTATTTTTGTGTTTATATTTTATTATTTTATTGAATTAAGTCAACATAGTCTCATTTCCTCCGTCTAGCAGTTCAACATGACAGTAAGTCTTTGCAGCGCTGGTTGCAGAGAGAGGACGGATCTTTGTGCTCGTACATCCTAAACAGTGTTTACTTCCTAATTTAGAAATGAAACAGCCTTTAGAGTCATAAGCTGAACTATTTTGAGCCGTCTGGTGAATGAAAAGCAGGAATCGAGCATTCTTTATCTGACTAAACGTGGCGCTTTACTGACTTTGTAGTTAAAATGGTGAACAAACCCACAGTGCCGCCTACTGGCCTGATAGAGGACATGCACCACATATTGGGGTATGTATGTATATATATATATATATATATATATATATATATATATATATATATATATATATATGATCAGTATAAGAGGACATGTAGTTGTAGAAGTAGTAATAATAATATTAACAAATGTTATTGCTATAACAGTAAGATGTATATTATTATTATTATTATTATTATTATGTATTATTATTATTATTACACGTCTAGTTAATTGATTATTTAATTATATTTAGTATAATAACAACAATAATAATTATAAATCTAATTGATTAAATTACTTCTTTTTCATCTTCTTATTATTATACATCTTACTGTAATAGTAATATGTATTATTTAGTATTGTTTATTGTTGTTAATATTGGTGTTGTTTTCTAGTAGTGCCTTTCCACAGGCATAAATGAAAATATAAACAAATTACAATAATGAAATTAAATAAAATAAATAAATAAATTAAATAAATAAAACAGTACTACAATAACATGAAACGAGTAAAATAGACCAGCTAAAATTTTAAAAATGTAAATTTTTAATTTAATCGCTGAATAATAACAGAGCAAAGTACTTCTTGAGGAATCTTTCTTTGTACGCTGTGTTTTATCCATATTACAGTGTATTATGTAGTTACTTGTTTGTTTATTAATGTGTAGTTATTGGTTTGTTTGCATTATTTTTCATGTTTTTCTCTTTCCTCCTCAGCTCCTGTCGTTCGTGGCCTTCGTGCTAGAGGAAGTGGTGAATAACTGTATGTCCTGCGCGCCGCTGTATTTTTTTGAGTTCGTCAGCTGCACAGCCTTCCTCTTCACCCTCCTCCTCCTCATCCTCCTCAGCACACAGCTGCACACGAAAGTGGGCATCACCTGCTGGCCGCACCTGGTAAGATAAACAGCTGGTTGACATCGCGCTCTTCGCTGCAGTCGGGAGGGAAAGTGCTAAACTGCGCCATCTGCTGGTCAACATTTACCCTCCTCTCGTTTCTCCAGAGGGAAGATTACAATAATGGATCTGTGAAAGGATGTTGTGCCAAAGAAATTGGCAAAAGTTATTCAGATAGGTGAAGAACGTGTTGTATATGGTTCTGTATGGCACCAAAAAGGGTTCTGCTATTGTTACAAGCTTGACATCATAACTACAGCAGAACCCTTTTTGGTGCTATATAGAACACTATATAGAATATATAATATATACACACTTGAAAATGATAGTTCTTCAAGGGTTCTTTAGTAAAGAAAATGGTTCTATATAGAACCATAAATACTCAAAGAACCCTTTGCATGATTAAAGGGTTCTTTGAAATGGTTCTTCAGACTGATGGATAATGAGCTGTACAAGTTTTTTTATAGAAGCTTTTTGAAAAGGTGCTCTAGATGGTTCTATATAAAACCTATATAGCACCAAAAAAGGGTTCTTCCATTGTTGCAAGCTTGACATTAAGTAGAAGAACGTTTTTGTTGCTGTATAGAACCATTTTCAAAAATGTGCTACATAGAACCGTCTACAGCACCTTATCCATCTTTTGGGAAATAACCATTCAGTGATGCAAAGAACCTTTTAATTGTGCAAAGAGTTCTTTGGCGTTCAAAGTTCTGTACAGAACCACTTTCTTTACTAAAGAACCCTTGAAGAACCATCTTTTTTATGAGTGTAGATATGGGAAGGTATTTTTTTAATCTTACACCTCACCATATTCAGCTCTAATGTAAGTTATTATTCATCAGCCATTAATGTATCGTGATTAATTGGATTGACAATCAGCCACACAATCAATATTTGGCGTAATGAAATGATAAAACTATTCCCTTTGAGCTTTTAAGTCCTAGACTAAAAGTTAGCAATGAGGAATTTGAGCACATTTGGTCTCCCTTCCTTTCCAATCTTCACGTTATTAATCCTGAATTGTTGATTGTGGTCAGTTTTGAATGAGATGTTATACTTGACAATGTTATTATTAGAGCTGATGGTTATGTGTGTTTTTATGTGTTTGTATTTGTATCTGTGCTGTCCAGCAAGCTGTCTTATACAGAAAAGTAAAGAGTGTGCAAGTGAAATACTGATAGATTTGATATCATATTAGGCCCAGTCCCATTTCTTATATTTACCCCTACCCCTTGTTTTCGAGTGTTGCTCCTTGGAACTGAGTTACAGGGGTAGTGGTTGAAGTCTTCCCTCTGAAATGGGACCCTCAAATAAAAAGAGCATCACTTCATTAACAGCTACCAGCGCTGCTCTGTAGGCGACCCTGCCAGTCTGCAGTGACAGCAGAGGAGGGTAAAGTTCAGCTCCTCACTGCTGGGCTTTAGTTACATTTAGGGCATCATATGATCTTCAAAGAGGGGGCAATTATTTATTATCACCCACCCCTAATTCTTCAGTGATATGAAGCTGATTCAGATATTCTCCAGCTTCTTGTTTGAATTTTCCTGTTCCACCTTAAATGGTGCAGCAGTTGCATTCTGGCGCCTCAGGCATCAGAACTGCTGGACTATTTAAGGTGGAACGGGAAATTTGGCTAACTAGCTACTGAGACATCAGTACTACTAGCATTTTTTTTGGTTGTTGTTTAGGATAAAAGGACCGTAATACACTGAAACAACATTAAACTAAGATAATACGATGATTATCATAATTTTTTAAAGAGAAAATTCTCACATTTGTGTGTTTCTTTGGTCTCTTGTTCTCCATCTTGCTGGTTTTTCTTCTTTTCTCATAACTCTCTGTTTGGAGTCTCTGAAAATCCTCCATTTGGAGGGTCATGTAGCCCCAACACTTTACCCTCCCCCTCTATCTCAACAAGAATCAGGACACCCTCTGTAAGGCATGAACGCTCAGAACGGAGGGGTAGGGCTGAGGGCTAGGGGCGAGGAGGGAAATGGGGTTGGGCCTTAGTGTTGGTGGCTTCTGTGTAAGAGTCCAAAAGTCTGAGACTCGACTGGAAATCTGGGATTATTTTTTTAAAGCTTTAAATAAACAACAAAGTTTTGGAAATTTAGAAATGTTAGAACAAAGAGAAGTTATAGCAGGTAAAATGAAGTAGTATTTAAAATTCTGCACTATTTTTGGGTCACTGGTCAAATTTAAGCAGATTTTGACACTGGCCATGTTAAAGGCCTTTGTACAAAAAGGTCAGTGATCTGTGATTTTATATTAAAGTGGAAAGAGATTCAAAATAGAAGCATTTTCACCAGACTTGTGATCCACTCTGGATATTTTTCTGCTTTTTTCTTCTACTTGATGGCCGTTTTGATCGGAAATGAAATGAATGGAAAGGTCTGCCTTATTTACACTTTACTGTACATTAAACTGTCGTGAAAGTTACAGAGAAAGAGGGATAATGAGGAAAGCAGGTCTAACCCAGGACTGACTCACTGACTGCGTTTACATCCAAATGGTCGTGTAAACAGCACACTCTGACTTCTTAGATCAGAGTAAGGTCTAGAAATCTGATTAAGAAATCTGATAAAGAGGCTGGATTTTAGCTCAGAGATCAGATTTCTCGGCGCATGTGAACTCTTACTCTGATTTCTTTCGGATTTCAAAGTCTGAGCATGTGTGAAAACAGACGGCAGCACCAGAAGCGTCGGCGCGAAGTTTGAGTTTTGCATTAAGTTTATGTCACGTCTTCTTCTGTGAGTTTATTGGCTGGTTGTAAAGCAGAAATCTGATTACTTTCTGACTCATGTAGACCTGGAGTTTCCCCATTATCTGATTACTCAAGTGCATGTAAACACGCTAACTGGATTCTTGACAAAATCTGATTTTTTGCAGTGATTGGATTATTAAGTGCATATAAACTCACTCACTGTTTGTCTGTTTCTCCTGCAGGATTTTGGATACACGCTCCTAATCCTGGTGTTCTTCGTCATCGCCTCGATCGCCTTCGTTACGGATAACAGTGGGACCAAGGTGGAAAACGCCGCTGTGGTACGATTCCTTCTGTACAACTGGAGTAAATTTAGCTTTACCAGCTACCGCAGTGCCCTGCGTGTGGACGCGCTGTGTTCTGTCAGTCCAACATAAAACGAAGAATGTACTGTAGATGGTTGTATGTAGAATCTTTTTGAAAGGGGTTCTATATAGCACCAACAAGGGTTCTCCTATTGCTACAAGCTAACAATAGGAGCACCTTTTTGGTGCTACATAGAACCATTAAAAAAAAAGGTTTTCCTTTTCACATTCTACATCAACCTGAAGAACCATTTTACCATGGTTCCTTGAGTGTTCAAAAGGGTTGTGTATAGCACCAAAAAAGGTTCTTGCATTGTAACAAGCTTGATATCGTAACAGTAGAATAGTGCTATTTAAAACCCTTTCCAAAATAGACCCATATACTACACGTTCTCCTACAATCTGAAGAACCCTTTAGCACTGCAAAGAACCCTTGAATCATGCAAAGGGTTCCTTGAGGGTTCATGGTTCTTTTTAGAACCATTTTCTTTACTAAAGAACCCTTGATGAACCATCTTTTTAAGAGTGCACAGCTGCATGATATTTTGAAATTGTATTGAAAGAGGACTGAACTGTTTATTACTCTGTAGCTGAACTTTAAGTACTTTGTGCAGCACTAACAGGTTTGTTTGTGTTTGTTTTGTAGTTGTTTGGGTTCCTCGCGTCGGGCGCCTTCCTCGCAGACGTGGTTGTGTTTATAAAGACGAGAGGCGTTCCGTGTCTCGGCAAGAAACAAGCAGCAGAGAACCCAGCAGCGCCGGTGCCTGAAGTCGAGAAGCTGAACGCTAATGGAAACGAGTCAGGTTAATCGGAGACGTAAATGGAGAAAAATCCGGCCGCTTCACTCTTAATCTACCCTAGACTGACACACTGTCCCTCAGTGTCTTTATTACATTTTATTTTGTAAATGAAGACGTTTTCGACCCAAAGCTCAGAGATCATGACATTGACACCTGCTCCTTTTACCTACTCGCTCACACGAAATTGGATGAATTACCTTTTTAACTACCTTTCCTTTGTTTGTTATTGTGCCTTGGATGAATGAAGGGGTTCTGAGGTTTGTGACCTTTTTTAAGTGTGAAAAACTGAATCATTTTATCTGATCATGATGTTTAAGCGCCTTTAAACACAAAAAGAAACAAAACATGGATTTCACTGTGAGGAAAGAGTCATGTTCCTGGCAGCATTAGCAGATGCAGATGTTTGATCTGCTGTATCAGGGCGCATTTTTACACGTCACTCACGTAGTAATGAGTAAAAATGGTCCTGTACTGTTTTTCACCACCTGTACCAATAACTAAAGCACAGATATCAGCCAAATGAACCACCAGCAGCTTCTGAATTACTGGCTTTCGAAAATTCAGGTGTACCGATTAGAATTTTTACAGCCAATTGTGATTTTCTTTACAGCTAAATTGGCTAATTGGCCATTTTTGGCAAAATTGAATAGCCTTTTTTAAAATCCAAAGCTGACCGGCTAAAAGAACAGTACTTTTTATTAGTGACGCACCAAATTGAACATTTAGACTGACAGCGAAAATCAGGACACACTGGGCCAAAAACTGAAACCCAAAACGGTTTACTTAATTATTAAAATTATAATAGTATGCAGCTACAGATCGTGCCATGAAATCCAGTGTCTATAACAGAGAGCGGTCGTTTATCCAGGACAATCAATTCCATTATTGTTTAGTTATTCTTTGCACTTTCTCTGTGGTTTGTGAATGTTTCCATCATTTTATACACTGAGCATATGTATTATCTGTTAAGTGTGAGGTCTTGACTCTTCGTCGTAGGTTCAATGTAATCTTTGAGTTTTTTCAGGCAAATTTTCAGAAATTTTTCTCTTTTTTGACCAATTTTGGCTGAAATTTTTCAGTGGCTGAAATTTCGATCCATCACTATTTTTCTTTAAGCCACAGCTGCAATGGAAATTAAATTTTTTGCTCTTTAGTGAGCCAAATTGCCATTTTAAAGTCCTAAATTAAAATTCAGCTGCTCTATTGAAAAGCTAGCAGCGACTGGCTATTCAGCATGAGTCAAGTTCAACTATGCTACGATATTTCAGTTCTGGTGTACCAGTATCATCATGATCTTACCTGTCTAACATTACAGTACATCACAAAATCTCTGCACAGATTGGCCAAAACAACAAAAACAAACCTGCTGATTGACTATCTTGGCCGATTCTGCATGTTCTTGTTGGACGATAGCAGAATTTTGGAGAAATATCAGGTTGCAGAAATTAAATGAAGTGTCAGCAATACATTTTGAGCCTTACACATCAGGCCGTGCGTGTACATTTTAATCCAGCTTGACTTTAGTGCTAGTCTAGCGTGTTGCTCATATAGGCCTGATAGCTTTACCAGATCACAGCGCGTGTCTAGTTGTGAGAGCCGATGTTTTAGACTGTGTGGTTTATCTTATATGTACTGATGTGTAAATTGCAGTTAGCTTTCATCGGGCTGTTATGTATATATTGGTAGAATTGCTAAATGTTCACCACTGTTACTTTCTCATTCCTAATTTTACACTTAAATGTAAATTTTTAATTCCACTTTAATTTCCAGGTGAGAAAATGTTCCACTGTAAAAAAGAATAAAAAATTACAGCCTGAAAATTGTTCAGATCAGAGAGCACACCATGCATTGATTGGTTCAGAGCTTTTTGGCGCCACCTGCAGGGCAAAAGTGCAACAACTGTCTGCCAAAGTGTAATACAATGCCAAAATGGAAACATGGAAGATAAAATGAAAACAGCAAAATGATATGAAGACTTTTCCCTTTTCCAAATATTGCACTGTTATTAGAGCTTTGTAGGTCCGGCACAGGCATCATTTTAAAAGTGTTATTGTTTTACAGTAAAAATGATTTGAAAAACAGCAGAAAAAATGTCCTTTTATAATTATATAATAAGAGTCAGTCTGAAAAACCTATTCACATTGTTCTTGCCTGTGGTTCTGACTTTTGGAGGGGTGTGAAGTTGTTTTTATTTGTTAATATCTTGTATTTGTCTTAGTGCCTTAAGGAGCCGAATAGCTTTAAGAGCTGAATAGCTGTAAAAGAGATTGGTGTGTAAACGTGGATCTGATGTACGTTTTTGATACCGAGTGAGTGAAATCCTGTAGTTTAGTGTTTCCTGTTAGCGAAGGTCGCCATGTCCCGAGAGGCGTGTTTGCGTGTAGGCCCAGTTGATCACTCTCGTAAATGCCCGGAGGACCAAACGGACTGCAAATCTACTGAATCTTCTGCCTTGCGCGAGCACCCTCCCACTTCAGAAGTCCCGCCTTTCCCCAAACTGACACTGCAAACGGCACACAGTGAACGCAGCTATGGGGCGAGCTTCATTAAAGCAGCACGTCAGCGTTTTCCACCCTGATCTCTGTCTGCTGCATCTGGAGCGCATGGTCGAATACCATGGATAATGATTTCAGCACGTTTCCCTGAACTTAGAACAGAAGAGAAAAACCATGAACTTGAAACTCGCTTATAGTAGAACCCAATGGGCACCTGTTGAAATACGCGATACGGCGCTGAGTATCATATTGTATAATGAGCAATGTTTCCATCGACTTTATGTGCAAATTACAAGTGGTAAAATGCAAATTTGTACGTTAAATATTCCATCAAATCAAACTAACTTTTAGAGATGAAAATGCTTTACATGATGACGTCTTTTTCAGCAAAAACGGCTTTGGTTTATTAGAAATAAAAGTGGTGTTTATTACAGACAGTTTGCATTTCTGTTGACAAAATTAACAAAATTAGCTGTTTTTTAAAAATAAATAAATAAAAAAAAAACCCTTCAGAAATGTAGCTAGCCAGCTAGACCGTAGCTAGAACGTAGCTAGACCAGGCATGATTTTGTAACAAGAACGTCTGGGGACTACCATGAAAAATTCAGGGTTAAAAGTGGGGGGGGAGTCGTAGACTTAGTAGGACAGGACCAAATGGAGAGTGGAATTTTAAAAACCAATCTGATGTGATGTGGAGCTCACAGTAGGTGGCTTTTTGTGTGTTAGCTTGTGAGTACTGCATTAGCTCAGGGCTAACATGTTAGCTTGTAGCTAGTGCCTTCGACATCATAAAGCTTTTGTTTCTGATTCCTGTTCTTATGACGTTAATCCGACACTACAACACTAAGGCGAGGTGTGTCCCAATTCAGGGGCTGCATCTTTTGAAGGATGCCGTCTACGAAGGCGTGTCCTGTGAAGGCTGAACTGAAATGAGACGGTCTGCTCTACGGCGGATTTCCTGTTTGCGTCACAGCGCCGCTGTTCCCACTGCATCACAAAACGCCGCTCCTGTCAAGTTCTTTTAAATTTCTTTAAAGATGGAGCCAAAAACTTTGATTTTAGTTTTTTAGTTTTTTAGTTTTTTGCTTTGGACCAAATTTGTAATGTTAACTATTCGACTCAGTTTAAACCCAAACATTCAGCCGCTGTTCATTCCTCTGCTGACTACGCCATGTTCTCGAATCCTCGCCGGCACACATTGAACCTTGGGATATGCTGGCTGGCGAAGGATCCACCCATTGGATCCTTCGTTGCCATGGAAAAGAAGGCTGCATATGAAGGAGCCTTTGAAATGGGACAGCCTAGTCGCACCGCTGTGACACAACCGGTCTTCAAATGCAGCCTCCAAAGGACGCAGCCCCTGAATTGGGACACAGTAGTTCTGGTTTCTTTTGCTTTCCCAAATGGTATCCATGAAAACTCCACCCATTCCATTAATAACGAATTACCAAAGATTCTTCCCTCTGGAAAAATAGGGCGCATCTCTGAAAGAGCGAATTATACAGATTTACAGCTTTGTTTACAAACAGCTTTGATTGAATTAATGGAATTAATTCGCATAAACATTTAAATCTGCCCATTGGCTCCTGTTGAGTGAAGGCCACTGCATTAGATTAAAGCCATATCGAGACAACAGAAAGCCATAGTAGGAGACATGGCTTGAAATTCACTCAGAGAAGGTCAGTCTTTTAGAAAAATAGACAAACGATCTGCTAGTTCCGCTAACTTAGCCTAGTTTGCCTAATTACCTGCGTAGTCTTTTTCAGCTCCTGTCTTTCAGCTCAAGTTTGCAAAGAGCTAGTAAACTGATCAATTATGGTAAAAATTTAATTTAATTAAATTTATACAGGTAGAGTGTAAAAATGAGCTTGAACTTGGTGTTTATCAGTTGTGACACAAGTAGCATAGCACACTCTGCCCTGTATCTGCAGCGCATTCGGTGTGCAGTGGCCTTTAATCCTGTTTCTGTTCTGAGTTCAGAGAAATGCGTTGATGTCGCTGTCCGTGCTGACCATCCGTACAGCAGCAGATCGAGATGAGGCTGGAAAACGCTGGACTGCACCTTTAATGTTCTGCTGTATCATGACTGTAGAGTGAGTTTGTGTTTAAATGGTCCAAACTGTTTGAACGATGTCTGTACTTTTTTTAATTATGCCAATTATGCAATAAAAATATCACTGCACATACATTCTGATGGAGTCTTGTTCTCATGCTCGTCTTTCAGAGCTACACTTCACACAAACCTGTGACTCTGGATCACGTTCCCTTAAAGGGGAGTTCTAGAAGCTCCCTCACAGAAAGTTATTATGTAAAATGGTTATGAATTCACTGCCTGATGACTGAGACACTGCTTTATGATAGATTTGAAAAAGTTAACACGTATTTTTTAAAACTTTTTCAGATTTATCACTATTTTACCATCAACATTCCATGTAAATAGATATAGATATATAGTGTGTAAGTGGACCAAAAGAAATGGCCAGAAATTACTTGAGAAAAAAATCTGGTTCCTTTGAATTAAATTCAAAGTAAACAAGGTTCTCCTTCTCCTGTAAAGTTTTCATTTTGGAGAGGTTTTGGTCCGACAGCAGCGACGCACACATCTACAGATCTTCGGAGCCAAGTCGTCTGGAGCAGCATAGACCCAGACTCATTTGACCCAAAATCCTCCATGACTAGGGGGCACAAGATCGTGTACACTGCCCGGGAGAGGGTTTACTAGGGTCTACCTCTGGAGCCAGGACTGGGAATAGTGTTCCTTGCCGAATGCCCGGTGGCCTGGCAGCCCACATAACCCAGCTGGGCTCAGCCTGAAAAGGCAACATGGAGGGGCCATGTGGGTCCAACACCCACAAGGTCCAGCATGTGGGACCAGGGCAATTCTCTATCTCTCTACATATATATATATATATATATATATATATATATATATTGCATTTGGAATAGTTAAGCAAAAAAGTCCCCAAGGTCCTTTTTTAGTGCTACCTTGCTAAAAAAAAAAGAACCATTATTAATGATTTTAATGCTGGTAACATTTTTCTGAGGACATTTTCTCAGGACATTCACCAGCTTTCTGTTAGACTTTTCCATTCCACCTTAAATGGTGCAGCAGTCACGTTCAGAAATGCTGCACCATTTAAGGTGGAACAGGAAAATTCAAACAAACAGCCGAGAAAAAGAAGCTGATTTGAGCTTCATGGAGGGTTGAAAGGCCTGATATGAGGAAGTTTCTCTATTTCCACTTAACAGAGTAACATTAACTTATTTTGCTGTTTCACAGACAAGACAGGTCAGTGTTTTGTCTCGTTTGCTAATGTTTGTGATAGCTGCACATTTAAGATGGAATGGAAACATTCAAACAAGAAGCTGCGAAAAAAGAAGCTAATTTCAGCCTCGTAGTTTAACACGGGGAGTATTTTATAAGGAGTTTTAGTCTATCAGAATATCCCACCTAGAGGTTTTATTTAGGGGTATACCTGTAATTATGCGCTATAGTACAATACATTTCGATAAGGTAGCACAGCTCAGAGCTCCGCCACAGCCCGCCTTAGTTTAGTGTAGCTCAGTGACATCAAATTGATGCGCAGTAGCTTTAGCTCACATGTAGTAATATTAGTATTATAGCTCTTTAACGACCTTGTAATTCGGAGGATCCAGTGGTGTTCAGGAGAAAAATGTTCACAGGACAGAACGTATCGGGTTCTGAGCATTATTATTGAACACAGGGGGCGCTAGAGGCGATTTTTGGAAAACCCTATTCATTCTGGTCATAGAGAAATGGGGCTTAGACCCGGAGTTCCTAATATGGGCATAACGAGGACTACAGAATGACGCACGACATAAAAGTTGCACTTAAAAGAAGCTTTTAGCCATTAAAAAGGCTTTGTTTAAAATGACCATTGGAATGCAGAATAAACTAGAGACACACAAGTGTACTGGCGCATGATTAGTGCGTCCAAAATGTGCAGCGTTCTCAGAGGTGTCGGTCCAGTGTGTAAATTACGCCTGATTGTTCAGTAAACAGTGTTATGACTGTTTGTTCAGGTGTTCGGTCCGAAAACATAAAGTCAGTCAGCAGTAACATGGAGAGAGAGAGAAGTACGGTCAGAGAACTACCAGAGAATTACCACTCTGTAACGTCTTCAGGTTTCTCAAACACTAGAGGGCGCTCCCGAGCGAGTCCACAATAAATGGGTTATGAAGGAGCATTTGAGCAGAAATATAGTTTATAAATGCTGAAACATTTTTACTGTAAAAGAATTCATTCATTTCCTGAACACAGAGCAGCATAAAACATTTTAACATTGCTGTTATATTTTTAAGAGCTTTTAAACTCGAGTTATAGGAGTTTAAAACGGCGCCTCATGTACGTTCATGACGTCAGTGAGCGCGAACAGCCAATGAGCTGCTCCGCTCGCCAGCCAGTCAGCGCTCAGTAGCAGTAATGTTAGCGTCCTGCTGCTCAAAACCCGTTTGCTGTAGAAAAAGGAAACATACAGGTGAGTTTTCTTTGCTTTTTTAGTGAAATCCATCCTTCTACTGTCTAAAACTAAAGGAAAGTTCTGGTTCAGTGATTAGAAACTACTTTAACTCTTCGTTTTTAGCCGTTTAGCTCCGTTCACTCCCATTCATTGAGGACTCGCTCGCATTTGCTAGGCTTAGTGAAGCTCGCCACAGTGTTTGTGTTTGCTGTAAGAGGTAAAGCAGGGAAATCCATCACATTACATTAAATGTGTGCGATTATATTTTGTTTTTCTGTTGTTAGCATTAAAACCGTTTTAATAATATATTGTTTAGATTTTTCTAAGTAGCTAATGTTTCACACACTGCACTAAAACAGCGAATCAGGACAGATTTTGCTCTCTTTATAAAGACTCAGTTATTTCAGTGCTGAAATCAATAATATTCTCAGAAAAGCTTTTTATTTGTTGGGAATGCACGGAAATTTCAGCCACCGGAAAATACCGCTGAAAACCTTCTAAACTGGCTCTTCCGGTTACAAAATAAAAGGCCTAACCTTAAAAAAAGAAAAAAATTAAACAGGACTACAGCAAAGCGCCAACAATTACAATGAGAAACAGTACAACAACGATGCTCTGTAGACCCACTCAGTCAGTTAGCAACAGATATTTCTGTTGAGTTACAAACGCAGCAAAGTGAATAAAATAGCATAGCAGCCCAGTCCGTTCAGTCTGATCATCTGTCCAGTGTTGATTAACAGTATAGGATTTCGATATTGCTGCTGTGCGTCCAGTAAAAGATTTATTTTTAGCATCATTAGCAGCATTATAAGTATTATTATTGGACAAATCATTAACTTTAACTGTCTCTTAGGGGATTTTTCGTCAAATATCGATTTAGTTAGCCCTATCAGCCCATGTTTACAGGCTCACATGAAACAACAATAATTGAAATGAGATGGAAAAGAGAGGCGGTTGTTTTACAAGCTATTTATTTATGTATGTATGTATGGGGGTCATCCTCCTGCATCCCCTCCAGGTCGAGCTCTGAGTACAAAGTTTCTTCGGAGCCCCGCTGGTGACATCCTGTATAAACAAAAATATTACGTGGCTTACTAATGACTTAGTAAGGCGAGGGAATGAGATCACGGCTTACTAAGTCGTGGCCACGCATTAGGATCTCGTTCCCACGCTTTACTAAGTCGTGGCCACGATTTAATCATCCCATTCCCACGCCTTACTAAGTCGTGGCCACGCATTATTTTTATTTATACAGGATGTCACCAGCGGGGCTTCGTAAAAGTTTCTCAAAAGAATAAACTTCACTTTTGGCGTGTTTTTGTCGTCACTGACGCCAAGTGGCCGCTAGAGGCCGCTGTTTCTCCAGCAAAGGCGCTGAGCAGGCGGCGCTGTCTCCCAGACGCCGGACTGGAAAAGTGAAAAGCCAACCAGTGGAAACATCCCAGTGAAGACCCACTTCAGCAGCCAGAGGGACGGACACTCACTGAGAGAGACAGCGGAGCAGACACTGGGCGACTTTCTGTCCCACTGCACGGCTGCGAGGATGGAGCGGCTCTCTTTGGAGGGAGCGCGCGTTTAATCCCTGCTCAACTAAGAGAAGCGACTCCTGGGATTATTGCTGTTTCTGCGTGTTGAGGGTAAGTGGGCAGCTGTGTTTTGCGCAGGTGGGTGATGTTTTTATCTTGGAGTCATGTGTAAGAAGTTACTGACACAGTCTGCGTAGTTGTGGATGTTCTTTGTTTTCTTACGAGGCTGAAATTGCAGCTTCTTAATTGAATTTTCTGTTCCACCTTAAATGGCGCAGCAGTTACATTCCGGTGCCTGAGACGCCAGAACGTAACTGCTGCGCCATTTAAGGTGGAACGGAAAATTCACTTAAGAAGACAACTCAGACTTAGTTTTTTTTTTCTTTCAGTGGCTTAAAATGTGTTTGTGTTGCAGCTGACAGTGAAGTTTAATGCAACTCGGTCTACTTTTGATTCAGATAGACGTAGATTAATCTACAAAACAACTTATTACCGTGGAATATAAATATATATATGCAAAGTAAAACGAGAAATGTGAACAAACTGTGTGTGAAGTATACAGAAACCACATATACTGACAAAAATGCTGACACTGTCAGCAATAATACCAAAAATCACGAAATATCAGCCACTTTAAGAAGATTAATTGGCACTGTGGAGCTTTAATAAGCCCAGGTGCTGCTTATTAATCCACACCAGTTCATCTGAGTTCATCTTCCCACTCAATCAGTGCTGCTGATTCACTGAAGATGGATTGATGATGATGATGATGATGATTAGCCTCCAAAACATTTTGAACCATGACCAATACATGTCCAAAAGTTTGTTAGTTTTCTCTGTAGTGAAGGGTATTAAAGGGGAACTCCACCAGTTTTTCAAAAAATTCTGTGTAATTAAATGGTTAAGGTGTAAACAGAGTGGTTCAGAGTGGTTTGGTGTGAAACGCTCTGTTCTAGATAAACTTGCCGAGTCAGAACTGTTCACAGTGGTGGTGATAGGAACCAGACGTCCACCTCTAAAAGCCCCCTCACAGAAAGTTACTACATGAAATGGTTATGAATTCATGCGTAAAAAAGGTGGTTCTTTAAGGATTCTTTAGTAAAGAAAATGGTTCTACATAGAACAACGAACACTCACAGAACCCTTTGCATGATTAAATGGTTCTTTGCATAGTGAGATGGTTCTTCAGACCAATGGAGAATGTAGATGTTGCTGTAGATGGTTCTATATAGCACCAAAAACGGTTCTTCTATTGTAATGAGCTTGACATCGTAACAGTAGAAGAACCCTTGTCGGTGCTATATAGAACCCTTTTCAAAAAGCTTGTATATAGAATAGTCTACAGCACATTCTCCATCAATCTGAAGAACCATTTTACGATACAAAGAACCCTTTAATCATACAAAGCATTCTTTGAGTGTTCATGGTTCCATATAGAACCATTTTCTTTACTAAAGAACCCTTGAAGGACCATCGTTTTAAAGAGTGTGCTGAGAAAGGGTTCTTTGATCGTAACAGTAGTGGAACCTACTCTTCTTCTTCAGGTAATTAAATAGAACCGGTTTTCCATCAAAGACAAGAACCACTTGACCATGAAAAGAACAGTTTATGATTTCAAATGTTTCTTTGAGTGTTTATGGTTCTGTAAAGAAGCCTTGAAGAACCATTTCACTAAACCATGCAGTCCATTGGCACTCAGTTCTCCACTTCTCATTTATGGCCATTTTTATGCTTACAAAGCCAAACCTGGAACTGTCCAGACGCTGCTCGAGTACCTGAGTCCATTTCCCGTTCTACAGCAAAGAGAAGGCATGGTTCTCTTTAGCTTGTGTGACCACAGGATTTCTCATGTGAATCTAAACACTTAAAAAGATGGTTCTTTAGTAAAGAAACCCTATAAAGAATGGTCCTATACAGAGCCATGAACATTCACAGAACCATTTGCATGATTAAAGCATGGTGAAAACGTTCTTCAGATTGAGAATGTGCTGTAGATGGTTCTATATGGAACCTTTTTGAAAGGGTTCTATATAGCACCAAAAAAGGTTCTTCTATTGTTATGATATCAAGCTTGTTATAATAGAAGAACAGTTTTGGTGCTATGTAGAACTCTTTTCAGAAAGGTTCTTTAAGTGCTTATGATTCTATATAGAGTCATTGTCTTACTAAAGAACCCTTGAAGAACCATCATTTTTAGGAGTATAGCATAAACTGAGTTTGGTTTTATGGATAAAGTCATGCTCAGAGATTCCAGCTAAATATGTTTCCATATATATATATATATATATATATATATATATATATATATATACATATATGTATATATATATATATATATATATACACGGCACCACGCTCAAATTCAGTGAGCTCTTTAGACCCATTCTTTCACTAATGTGTGTAAAGGCAGGCTGCATGGCCAGGTGCTTGATTTTGTACACCTGTGGCAATGAGACTGAATGAAATGCCTGAACTCAGTGATTAAGAGGTGTGTCCCAATACTTTTGTCTATGGTGTTTATTGTGAAAACTTCTTGAAGTGTGACAGTATTACTTTTTTGACAGAAGTCAATGTTTCCAATAAAAAGCCACTTTATACTTTCTACCGCTTCACTGTGACTGACCTGAATTACCCTCTACACCCATCACTACATTATCAAAATGCATACAAACGACTGCACTGTCCCTAGATGAACCCTGAATGTGTGGCACTGTGGCAGTGGGTTAGGCTAGTTAAACTCTTTAGGCTAATTAAACTCTTTAGACAGGGATTAAACCTAGTCCTGGACTTCATTTAGCTTTCAATGGAGATTTCCATTCAAAACGCTGGGCATTCCTGAACTAGACTTAATCCATGTCCAAGAAACCAACCCCTAAACTAGGAGTCGGCAACATGCAGCTCCAGAGCCGTCTCTTTTACTGCCGTGTTGCGGCTCCACAGCAGAATCAGATTAGTAGGTAAGAATAAAATAATCCTCCTTTACAGTAAAATAAAGCTCTGCTGATCGTTCAACACAGTTTAACAATAAATGGTCTTAAACTCTGGAGTTAATGTAGAACTGCTAATTCACCCTTTAACCCTGAAGATCAGCGCAGACTGCTGGTCACCATAGCAACACAGACAACAATCTCGCCTAGCTAGTAGCTAACGAAACGGCAAAGAGAGAGATTTAAGACGAACATCGATAATTTGGAGACGAATGGACTTATTTGTGTTTATAATCACTCCAGCTGGTTTCCTGATACGTTTAATCTGCAACGAGAAACGGAAACACTAAAGAGTTTTGAGGCTGAAGCCAGTTTCTCATTCACCAGCTTGTTGTTTGAATTTTCCTGTTCCACCTTAAATGGTGCAGCAGGTAGCTACATAGTTAGTTACATTCTGGTGCCTCAGGCACCATTTAGGGTAGAACGGGAAAATTAGAACAAGAAACCGGCGAACGAGAAGCGACTCCAGCCTCGTAAAAAGGCGAACGTTGTGAGGCATATTACAAGAAATTATTCCTCTTTTCCTGCCAGAGATGTGAGAAAAGCAGCTATAGCTGAGCTAAAACTTAAAGCAGAGCAAAGTCAGTTTGCATTTTTGTTTATATTATATGTTTTAGCCTATACTAGCACATCAGCACATACTGAGACATAGTTACAGCCAAGGTGGTAAAATGGTCATGAAATATTGAGGCTCCCAAGGTGGTTTGATTTTTGTTAAAAGGACAAAGTGGCTCTTCTTAACTTTTCGGTTGTGACCCCTGCCCTAAACAGTCATGACTGTTTTAGGCTATGCAATATTAGTGCCAGTGGTGTAACTTACAACTTTTAGCACAGGCGTACAGAAGATTAGCTGTTTTTTAGGAGATAAGCCTTATCTTTAACTTAATATTCCAGCAAATCCCACCTCCTGCTCTGGGATTAGCTGTTTTGTCGAAATTCCAGTGGAGGAAAAAATTACTAACAGTTGTGAGATGGTGTTGTAGCCTCGAGCGGTATGCCAAGCCTCTGTTATGCTTATACCTAGCTTTCCTTAGACTTTGATAGGCTTCAGTGATGCACAAATTAGCTCTCAAAGCTTTGGCTATTCGTACAGTATATTTAAGTCTCCTCTAATAATCCGGTCACAAAAAAGATAACAAGCCATCTTTCTCCAAAGGTGCCTGCGGCCTTGCGAGCGTCTTCATGTAATTGTAATGGCTGATGAGCAGATCACATCCCGGCGAGTAATTGCTTGCTGGCAGATGAATGGGAGGAAGGCTAATGAGATGGGCTAACTTTCAAGTTGCAGTAAAATCCACGTAATCTCTTCTTCCTACAGCCACAATGCTTCGGCAGCTCAGCAGACATAACCATGATAGGCTTCAGATCCGGCATTGTCTTTCGAGACATTTCCCTGAGCTTCTTTGCGGCTCTGCCAGCTGTCATGATTTTTTTTTCTTTAGCATGATAGTGTTGGGAAGATAAATGACCCCATTGTCACACTGAGAATGGAGTAATAAAATATTATAATGCTGTAGGTTAATAAAGAGCCCCTTCTGGATGGGAGATAATGTTCAGAAACGTATGCCTCTTGGGATCGTTTCATGATTAGTAAGGGTCATTGTTTCTTCTCTATAATATGGCTTTGTAGTGCTGTCCCGTAATGGCCCGCGCTCGCTATCTCAAAAATAATCAAAGCCAGGAGACCAGTGGCCTCAGACCCGCAGAAATGATTAAAGATGTGAAGTGAACTGAGGGCGAGAGCCGACGGAGCGGGGTCATCTCGCGCTCACCGGCCCATTCATCATCCCCCACTACTTCAGCATGCAGGCCATTAGGTGCTACTTATCAAGGCCACTTTGCTGCTCCGAAGCGCAAACTGTCCAAAGTAAACCAAAGTAAGTTTTGGGCTGCGTCCAAAAATATGTTTTATTCAATATATGATGCAATATTTTGGGCTATGTCCAAAACTGTGCCCTGTTCACTGTGTAGTGCACTATTTTGAACTATGTTTGACACTACGCCCGGTTCACTAATTAGTGCACGATTTTGGGATTTTGTCCAAAACTATTTCCTATTCACTATGTTTTGCACTGACCCTGACACCATGCCGTATTCACCATTTTAATGCATTATTTTGGACTA